CACAACCCAAGGACATGGAAATGGTGGGGAGAGGGACTGGGGAGGGGCAAGGAACGGGGTGGGACGGGTCATTGGGGAGAAAAAGGGACATCTGTATTATTTTAAACAATAATAAAATTAAAAAAAAAAAAGGCACAAAGAAAATCTCGGGGGGGGGAGGGGTGATGCATATGTTTTGTTATATTAATTATGGTTATTGTTTCTAGGGTGAATATGTATGTCAGAATTAACCAAATTGAAGACTTTAAATATGTGCAGTTTATTATAGGATTAATTATACCTCAATAAAATGTGTTTTTTTATTTATTTATTTTCAAACTCCGAAGGAATATAACCAAAGTTTGCTCAAGTAGGTTAATCTTCGCTGTTCTCTTTTATGCACAGCGATGTTTCCTCCCTGATTCTACAGTCTGCGAGCAAGGGGTGTGTCCGTTCCTATCTTTAGAAAGTCTGTGAGCTTTATTTGAAGTCATTTGTATGATTAGGCCGGAGAAGTACATGATAATGTCTGGCATCATTTAAAACAAATTAATTCCCCATTTCATTTAGCTGGTCATAACTCTCAGTCTGGGACCTGCTGCAAATGACCTTACGAAGAGTCACAAACAAAGATATAAGAAAATCAGGCTGAAGTCCTCTAACTCAGCATCTCACTCTCACGCCTTCAGTGTTATACCCCTGTGATTATCAGCTTTCCTTTTTTCATACCTTTGCCTTTATGTCCCATTTTCATAATTTAAATTATACAATATTGGTAAATTACAGTATTTTGCCCCAAGGCTATAAAAGGAGCTTCTGTGTACTCTATTATAAAATTAGCTAATTAATAAATTCTCTCTATTGCCAATAAGCAGAACTACATGGTTAAATTATGATGATGGGGTCTCGTTGCATGCACATTACACAAGAGCCAGCCATCATTTAATGTCAGGCACATGTGCGAGTGAGAGAGAGTGAGCTCAAACACCAACCCAGAGGGGGAAGTCATCTTGTTCTCATACTGTTTGCCAAAGATGCTCTTTGTGAAGTTAAACAAGTCAGTCGTATCTGGGAGAGGAGGGTGTGAGGAAGGAGAAAGAGAGAGGGAAGAAACAA